TTTCCAGCTGAGATTCTTGACACTGTGAAGCAGAGACAAGCCATCGTTGTTATGTTCTGATCAAATTCTTGACTCACAGTACCTGTGAGCATAAGAAAATGACAGTTGTTTTAGGCCACTAAATTTGTAGTGGTTTGTTATTCAGCAATAGATAACTGGGACAATGTGGAAAGAGCACGTTCTTGTCGGGCTTCCTTCTCAGTTACAAAACAGACGGGTGCCCCAAGTCATCTGAGTTCAAGCCTGCTGCTCTCCTGGCCACTGAAGCGCATGCTTCCTGTTGGCTGTGCAGAAGCATCAAACATGCTCCGAATTGGCTTCCGGATCTGAGAAGCCTGAGGAAGGCTTCTGCCTACAGTGGGAAGAAGCTCAGCCTATAGACACTTGGGTTTGCCAGAAACATCCCCCGAAGAAGGTGCTCTCGATGGGGTTCTGGATGACGGAATGTCAGAGAATTCCTCACATGTGCAAATCTTTTAATTTAAAAATAAATTTAAGAATATTTTTAAAGGAGTGATGCATATTTATTATTGCCTGAACTAAAAATACAGACATGTCGAAAGAAGAAAACAAAAGACATTTATGGTCCCATTCAAAGACACATGCTATTAACACCTTTCAAACCCTTTTTGGGGACATAAATCACATGACCCAGTTGCATATAATATAATATAATGCATGGCTATTATAATAAAATTTATAAACATATACATTTTAACATACGGGATCATACTATCCACATTGTTTTTTTAACCAAACTTTTTTTAATCAAAATATTGTTCCATGCCTGCATGTAAAACTTATATTTATTTGTACTGATTGTACAAGATTCACAGCATGATTACACTACAATTTGTTGCTTTATCTGTTGATGGATGTTTACACTTTTTCCATATTTCTATTGTATAAATCATGCTGTTATTGCCTTCTAAAGATAGTGCTTAAATGTTTCAGGCTGGCTGTTGGTTGATGCTATTTCTTATCTTTTGTATATCCCAGGCACATTCCTAATAGGAAATGTTTTTCCTTACCCCTTAGGTCTGTTCCCCCTCCCTCAAAAACCTCTCTTTCTTGCCCTCAAAATCTCTCTTTCTCCTCTCCCCTCTCTCTTCTCCTCTCTTCTCTGTCTCTCTCTCTCTCTCTCTCTCTCTCTCTCTCTCTCTCTCTCTCTCTGTCTGTCTCTCTCACACACAAACACACACACACACACTCACAATCACATTCACACTCACATGGGAACTCAGTGGGACAACGTGCATAAACACACAGGGAAATCCCACAGAAGATGGCTATGGGATCTTGAGATTAGATGATTTGAAAAGGGAGTAAGCATTTTCTTTCTCAGACTTTGCACAGGGTTGAAACAAACATCTGCTCCTCCAAAGACAGAAATGTTTAAAGATGCCATGGGAATTAGGTTAGGCCAAATACGAGAGGTTTTTCCTTCCCTCACTCTTATGTTTGTAAATGTGTCCTCTTTGCAATTGGGAAATGTCAGACTAAATGTGAAATAAAAATGGGCTGGTCTCCTGGTTGGTTTAGATTTTCTAAAATGGAGGAAATAAAATGGAGATTTAAAATGGTATCTACATGGAGGAATTATTATTATTATTATTATTATTATTATTATTATTATTATTATTATATCATTATCATTATTATCCAAGCAAAAGGTCCCAAAAGACTCCTGTGCTTTTTGTTAACTGCAAATCAGTAGAGTACAGGTTTTTCTTGACATTCCTTGCTGGAGTAACCTGCAAACTTTTTACACAACAATAGCAATGTTGCTCTGTGGAAGCATTTGGAATTTGGGATTTCACTATAATGAGATTAAAGAAGGTTGAGAGGATCTCCCAAGATTGGTTTGGACTTCTTCTGTTACCTTTCCAGCTCTTTAGTGTATGCCACAGCTCGAGGCATTAACTTTGAACTGGCTGAGTGGCTGGTTTTTAATAAGAGGATAAGTGTAGAGGCTAAGTATGGAGGCAGTTGCTGTCAATATGAGTTGAGTTTGACCCCAGTTCCATCCTTTACTTGCTTTGATATCTGGAGTGCAATTGAATCTTTTTAAGCCCCAGTTTCCTATTTTATATGACACCAACTGCCCAGGGTTGGCTTTGTGAGGGATGTATGAGGTAAACATAAAGCGATTAGCACATAATTAAAACAGATGTTGGTTTCTATCTCTAAGACCGTCATTTTGAATGTCATAGTGTAATGAGCTGGAGAAAATGAAATTCACTGAAATTCTTCTGAGATAGTGGAAGGTATCTTTGAGGGAAAGGATTTTTATAAGAGCATAGGGTAGCACTAGTTACCCTCCCCTCCTCTGCTCCAAGGGGCCAGAGTATATTCTAAATATATTTCGTGTGCTTAATGGAAGAAGTTGTTTCACTGTTTGTTCCAGAGCTGTCCAGAGAGAAACCAGGAGATTCTAGGAAGATGTGAACTCTGTGAGGTAATGCATCTCCTTGGGTCACCCCAAGTCTTCAGGAAGCCTCTTCAACTCATGAAATACTTGATTTGAGTGGTAGCTTTCTTTTAGAAACTGGTAAAGAAACTGAGGGTGCTATGGAATTAAAGACAGCCAGGGATTCAGAGGCAAAGAAGCAGGAGGAAGTGAACTTTTGAACTTGGAGATGTGGTGGTGAGGGCAATGGGGTTGTGAGCCAGGATGAGTGGAGTCTCCCAGTGGCAGGCTGACTTCTGGGTTAGCTTTTCTCTTTAAGGGTGTTCATCATTTGTGATTAATGTTTCTAATTGCATCTCTTTTGGATACTGGAACAAGACTGATTTAGCCAAATCACTGGGAAATAAAACTTTTGAGTCTGATTCTTCTGTCTGTCAGATAGGTTAAAGAATTCTTTGGTCTGCTAACATTTTTATTACCTTATAAAATATTTAGGGGCTTTACACATAAATCCTGGTGCTCTACTCAGAAATAATATTGCTGGCAGCAGGGATAGGTCAGGGCTGAATGAAATGTAAAATACATGCAAGACATGTATTGTTAATTTTCCCAGACTATAATTTCTTTCCATTCTGACCTATTCCCATCCCCCACCCCCACCCCAGATCTTGGGCTTGTGCTTATCTGCAAGTCTGTATTACTATGCATTTTACATTCTACAGTCTTTTCAAGGACACAGGCTATAAGTCAAGAGCTAGAGTTGGATTCCAAAGCTTGGGAATAGAGCCTCTAGGATCAGAGACAGAGAACAGATTTCCAGTGGAGCCAACTAGTCGGGGAAATATTCTAATAAATATAGATAGATGATCAAATTCTTTGTTTCCTCTTGGACTTAAATACACACACACACACACACACACACTGCAACCTTTCTTGACATTAACCACTTCGTTATGGTAATTACTGGAAAAAAGAAAGGTTCTCTTTGTGCCAGGTCCTGCATTAGATGTCTAAACATAGACTATGCATGTAATAAAGCCAAGTGCCCCTGAAAGGATTGTAAGGAAAAGTTTTCATTATAAGTAGCAATAAACCCCAAGCATTTGGAGTTACAGCTGATAATAAGGATATAGCATAATACTGGACATAGGACAATAAACTTATGGCCTGTAATTTCAGAAAAAGCTGCAAGAGTAGTCATTGGAATGACTCCTTTAAGTAAGATATTACACATCCTGCAAATGCTGCTGAATGCCAAAGCTATTAGCCAGAACAGATTACTGAGGAAAAGGAAATGAATACTTTTAAATACCGATTAAGTGTCAGATACTGAAATATATATTGTCTTCTTGAATACTTGTAATAATCTTGTGATATAAGTATTATTATTATTTTTTTAGATAAGGATAGGGTAAAACAGGGTGAGGATTTGATTAATCTCATGTGGCAAGTGAATGCAAATGATAGGTCTAGAATTCAAACTGTCTGTTTAGCCCCTAACTGTATTCACTTTTCATCAGTTAAGTCTGTGGAGTTAATGCATTTGATTCGGAAGATGTTTTGCTTCAAAGCCAAATTTCAAGGGTAGAACAGTTACCCACAAAGTCAAGAGAGAACCTTCAACTTCACATTTATTAGTGATTGGCCAATGTCCACCTTCCATTACTTCTGTAGCATTCAGAGAGGAAAGAGTATGTTTGCAAACGTGGTGAAAAGCATGAGACTTGTCAAAGTGTTTTCAGACAGAATGTTGAGATTAAAGATAATGAGTTGAAGATATTAAAGAAAGGTTGGCTGACTTCTTAGAGAGGGTTTGCAGTGTCAGATCTGTGGTTGGGCAATCCCCAAAACTGAACTTGTCAGTGCCCCAGATTCCATGAGGCTCAGGGAACTGACTTGTGTTTAGAGTTGATTAATTTACAAAGTAAGATTTTGTTTTCTGTGACCATATAATGGTACTCACCCCAAGAAAAATTTTTTTGGTACTAAGACAATCAGTGTATAGACTTTGTAACCTGTAGTGAGTAGACTCAGAAGGAATGGAATTGGATGTCTACCTGGGTATTTTCTCCAGGCCACAGATGAGAGTATGCTATGTTGAGTGACCAGAACATTCTCATCTGTTAGATAATGACTATAACATTCTTGCTTTTTAGTGCCACTTCTCCTAGGATCCATATAGATCTTCCTTTTTTTTAGACTCATTAATTCAATTGTTTAAACAAGTGTTATAAAAATATACATGCTAGTCATCTTAATTAGATCCCTACAAAGTTCTGCATTATACTGCTTTCAATGTGAGAAACCCAAGGTCAATCCCCTCCATTAATATAAATCTCAGACATCACACTTTTCTAAGGTTTGATGTTAACTTTCTGAAGCCACTCTCCATACCAACTACAAGGACATGAAACCCAGAGTAGAGCTGATTTAGTCTGACCTGACATTCAGCAATGAAATAGAATTAGGAAAACCATTAGCTAGAGATTAGAGTGTAGGTGAATTTTTTTTTTAAGTGTGTTTTTGCAGGACCCATCAGCTCCAAGTCAAATAGCTGTTTCAATCTAGTTGTGGTGGGCGCAGCTCACAGCGGCCTATGCAGGGATCGAACCAGCAACCTTGGTGTTATGAGCACCACGCTCTAACTAACTGAGCTAACCGGCCACCCCATAAAGAAAATTAATATAAGATGAATGTGGGGAAAGATTTCTGTAAATAAGAATTAAAGAATAAATGAAGTATATGGAAAGAAATGTACATCACATTTCTATTTTAGGCAAGAGAAAGAACTAGAAGGAATATTTCCCAGAGAAAAGCTATGGTCCTGATTTATCATTTTCATTAAGGATGGCAATAATTTGAAGGACTCGTGTAAATTAAGCATGACTTTTTTTTTTTTTTTTAGCTGAGCCTTCCTTCCCCTGTTGGGCAGCTTAGTGGCTGCTCAGCTCAGGCCGGAACTCGAACTGCTGTTGCTCAGAGCTCAAACTCTTGAGCGAGCTCTTAACCAACTGAGCCACTCGGCCGGCCCAAGCATGACTATTTTTAAACATGTTTGAAAAGTTTTCTCAAATCATTCAGAGTAACATGGTATGGTTGGAGTTCTACTTATTCCAGTTATGGTTTTTTTCTCTGTATGTAATTGACAGACATCTAATGGCGCACTCACTGTGTATGAGGTGACTGCTAGGCACTATGAATGAACAGAATAAGATGGTGTCTTCCTTCAAGGAGCATTTGCTTGAAATCTTATGATAAAATAGTCATACAGGTAAAGGTTATTTACAACCCAGGGCCACATAAGCACGGTACCCAGTGTGGGCACATCCCACCATTGAGAAGAATTGTTGTAACATTTTGGAGGTCAGAAGCAGTGGAAGGTAGCACTAACTCAAGTTGGGGAAGTTAATCAGTGCTATTTATCTCCTAGAAGAGGAAAGATGTTCCCTTCAGGCAGGAGTCCTCTGCAGGGTACTTATTCGTAAGTTTCCCAAGAGGTTATTGTTCTTATTTCCAACTTGACAACCAGCGCAGGGTCACAGCTCTGCACATAAATGGAAGCATAGATGTCCCTGTTCAAGTACTTTCCAGGAGCCATTCTGGAGTTTGCAGCTGTCCAATGATAATTAAAATCATAGCTGAGAAAAAACAACCTTAAGGACGCATTGCATAAAGGATATGCAGTTAGTGCCTTCTTTTGAAATGCAAATATTTCCTTCCAGACCCAAGTGAGCTGTGAACCTGGATTGAATAATAATGGTCCACAGAGCTTTGTACTTTGGGGTGAGTCTGGATCTTATGTGGAAGAACATTATATGAAACCACCTTAGGAAATACCTTGTGGAGGCTGTGGAGAGAATGCGGCAGAGAATATTTTTTATCACATAGTGCGAAGCATGGAGAGACATTTAAATGGGCAAGCTACCTAGTCAAGAGTCTAGGCTTGCTAATTGATAACAATTCCATTTTGGCCATTTCAGTGTTATTTGTCCCTAGGGTAGTATGAACAGGAGCAGAGAGAGCACTGGAAACAGAGATCTGCCACTATTATGAGTTGGTCACTATCAGGAAAGTGGACATCATCATCATTAATGAGAAGATACTTGTTAAAATGGAGAAAATGAGTCTAAATGAAATTATTTCCACTGACTTGATTATATGACTTAATTAGTCCAGATCTGTGCATACCAATGTGGTAGTCACTAGCCACATGTGGCTACTTACATTTACATCTAAATTAACCAAAATTAAAGAAAATTAAAAACCCAGCTCTTCAGTTATGCTAGTAACATTTCTGGTGCTCAAAAACCACATGTGGCTGTTTGGCTACCATAGTGGGTAGCGCAGATATAGAACATTTCCTTTATTGCAGAATGATCTGTTGGGCAGCACTGATCTAGAGCATAACAAGGAGAGAAGGACACAAGCTATGAAGTCAACAGTCCATTTTCCAGAGCAATGTATCAGGAGGTTTTCTATCCCCTTCTTGTTTTACTCACCCCATTACATTATTAGTATGTTACATGATCTTTGATTAAGCTGGTATGAATAAATCATGTTTAATCAATTCTTTTAGAGTAAGGGAGATCTTCCCCATTAATCAAATGTATGGGCTCACATTTGTATATGTATGTATACTTTGTATATATACTTTGTGCTATTATATTACACACACACATGCGCGTGTGCGACGTATGACAATTAAGTTTACAAATTGGTTGCGGTGATGTTGATAACCGTTTTTCATATCAGAGGGATTATTCATTATGAATTTGTACCAACTGGACAAACAGTTAACCAAGTTTACTATTCGGAAGTGCTGAAAAGGCTGCGTGAAAAAGTCAGACGACCTGAACTTTTTGCCAAGAATTCATGGCTCTTGCATCACGACAATGCACCAGCTCACATGGCAGTGTCTGTGAGGGAGTTTTTAGCCAGCAAACAAATAACTATATTGGAACACCCTCCTTAGTCACCTGATCTGGCCCCCAATGACTTCTTTCTTTACCTGAAGATAAGGAAATATTGAAAGGAAGACATTTTGATGATATTCAGGACATCATGTGTAATATGATGACAGCTCTGATGGCCATTCCAGAAAAAGAGTTCCAAAATTGCTTTCAAGGGTAGACTAGGGGCTGGCGTCAGTGCATAGCTTCCCAAGGGGAGTACTTTGAAAGTGACCATAGTGATATTCAGCAATGAGGTATATATAGCATTTTCTAGGATGAGTTTGCGAGCTTAATTGTCAGATCTTTGTGTGTGTATACACACACACATATATACATATAGAAAGAGGGACAAACAAATAAAGGAAGGGACAAATAGAGATGAACAGATGGATAACTGGAGAGAGATTCATTGAGTGTGTCCTGTAAGCCTATTAGTAGGCCAGGCTATTCCCTTGTTAAATTCTTATAATAACCTAGTGAAGTAAATTTTGTCGTGATTTGATAGATGAGGAAACAGGCTCAGAGATGGATTTCTCTTATTTAGAGTTCACACAGCTAGTAGATGGTAGTGCTGAGATCCAAACTCAAATCATCTTACTACAGGATCTTGAGTTTTCCATTGCATCAAGTGGAAAGTCATTATGTCTTTATTTCCTGAGAGCTGACAGCTAAACTCTCCATCTCTTTCTGTTGTCTTTAATTTTCTTTTATCTCTTAGCTCTTCTTTAAAAAGTTTTCAGGGAATTTTCGTTCTGTTTATTTGTAAATAAACAGCAACATGTCTGAAAAATATTTTCCCCCTTGCTTTCTAGAGTAATTCTTTTTCTGACTTGTATTATACCTGCCTTTTTCTCTTGTAGGTCTTCCAATTTTTATTATAATATTAAGCAATGGCCCATGCTGTTTTATTTTTAGTGATTGCTCATCTTTCAATGGAGGTGATTTTGTTTGGGTATTTGATTTTCTGACTTAAAATATGGGGAATGGAGTGAGAAGAGTGAACTAAGGCAGCAAGTTCCCTCAGTTGGGTTATATTGTCTCTAAACTCACTAAATCTTCTCCATTCGCTCTTCTCATGGGCACATCTTATTTCAAATTTTGGCATTCTGCTTTTCAATGTGAAGAGAAGTTTAGTGTGAATCTCAGTGAAGCTCCACATATCACCGTTATCTACTGATTTAATGTGAACAACATACACATGTACACTTAAATGGATAATGTCATGAAAATAAAATGCCATTACCCAGTTAAAGTAGCTCGGTTGATCAAATTCCACGGAGTGGGGAGAGCTGTACTGTTGGCTATCTTTTCAGATGGTGTTTAGATAAAGGAAGAAGAATAAGCTGCAAGAACAGTTGCAGCTATGTTTATTGATGGACTCTAGGTACAGGTACTTTCTAGGTATTTGCATGGAGTGTCTCATTCTCTTCTTCCCTCTGGCAGCAGGCTTTGCTGCAAGCATTTTACAGTTGAGGAAACAGAGGTTCAGAGAGATCAATAACTTGTCCAAGATCATTTAGCCAGTAAGTGGCAGAGCTAGAACCTGATTCCAGTTCTTCATCTACCTTAGTGAGGGGTTTGGGGAAAGATCTTCACACATTAGAATCTCACTCTTCTTATAACAGTTTATAAACCTGGATCAGGAGTGCTGTGGAAACACTGTTGAAGTTATATGTAATTACATAACAGGGTAGGAATAATTACTCAGATAATAACAGAGAAAGACTCTGGCTAAAAGCATTAAGAATTTAAGCAGGGCTACATTTCCTAAATGCAAACTCCTCTCTTGAGGCAGAGGACTCGGGTACAGAGGGGCTAGATGTTCTTATGATGAAAAGGGACCAGAAAAGGGAGTCGATAGTGAGCTGTAGGCTGTCACTCAGTAAGCCAATTGAGTGAAAAAGATACTGCAGATACCTCCATGGAATACTTTCATTTTAAAATTCTGTGGGAATTCCTTTACTGTCCATTAGACTTCCCATGAGATGCTCAGAGCTTCCCCATGACCCACAGAGGGTTCTTCTACTCTTAAGGCACTGGTTCTAAACCAGTTGTCTCGCAGGGGACATTTGACAGTATCTTTGTCAAGTATCTTTGATTGTCACAACTGGAGAGGGTGCTACTGGCATTGAGGGGTTAAAAGCCAGGCATGCTTGTAAACTCTACAATGCACAGGACAGCTGCCCACAGCAAAGGACTATCAGACTCACAATGTCAGTAGTGACGAGGTTGAGAAATCTCGCTTTATGTTAAATAAGCCAAGAGACAGTGGCCCTGTGTGAGAGGGTGAGGCGTGGCTGGAGGGAGGAATAATGAAGACTCTAAAGTCTAAAGCTTCAGTATCTGAGTTCACTTAGGTTGGCTTAAAGAGAAGTTAAGGGACTTATATTGACCTTTGAAATTCAAGTCCATACTTTCTGATTCCATATCCAGTGATTTCCATACTTCCACCATCTTAACTTAGCAAGTGTTCTGCACAATTTCATAAAAGCTTTCTTTGTCAGAGAATGTTTTGTTAGAGAATAACTCAAAGTAGAGTTTTAAAACACAAACAAGTGTGTTATTGACAAATACTTTTAAAAATGAAAAGTTTTCAGTGAAGATGAATTAAGGTTAAAGTACCAAATCTCAACTTCTATAATTTTTGGAAAAAAAATTACCTATGAATAAATGATGCACATGTGTGAATGTCTAACAGTCCCCAATACAATT